ATCAATATATACTGAACAAAAATAGAATTTCTTCTGTATCGTCAATATATCACCTCACAAAGATAGAAAAAAATAACATGTGTCGTAGGTTTAATATTATATTAAAACAATCAAAACACCATATACGGTGAAACAAACATCACATAGAAATTCAAAATAGCCTGTGATTACATTCCGTAAATCCAACCCACGTGCCTTTTTTGTTCCATAAGAGGAATGTTTCCTGTAATCAACGTTTTCACCAAATAAGAAAAGTGCTAACTCGTAGAATTGGTTTGCTTGTCGCCCAAGTTTCAACTCGTTAACGCAAGCAACCATGATACCATATCATCCTCAGTTTGTCTAAAATACGACTCATAGACTTAGAAAAATCTTCTTCTGTTATTTGAACTATTTGGTTATCTGTCTTTTTATTTTTGTTTTCTTGTTTGTTTGAGAACAGAAAAACAATCTTGTGACGAAATGAATTGTTCCAGTATATCGTCCATTTCAAGATCTTCAATCAATTAGAGAGCAACATGAGAAGGATTAAGAACAGTATTTGTCGGTATATAATATTTATATACGGAAAATACAATAAATAAACTCACACACCCTCCTTACTTTTGGTATGTTTGAATCTCTGACCTCCTATAAGGGCAAAGACTATGATACCGCTAGACCAAAGGCCCTTTGATAAAAAGTTATTCACAAAGTTCAGGAAAAAGATGATACACCCTTCAATAGTTCTACATAAATAAATAAAAATTCAAAGGGGACAAAGTCAACAAGTCAAACTTTAATAAAAAAACAAACTTATAAAAAATTCACAAAGACTGAGTTTTGCCTCATTTTTTTTGATGTTCTGTATAAGACCATACCATACATAAGAAAATGTGAGCGGAAAGAAAGAAAAACGGTTGTAATTTCTTCAGATACCAAACGTGTTAAGAGGGTTTATCTGTTTGCATCTGATGGTTGACATAAAAGAAAGGAAAAATGTTTACAGAGAAAACCGAATAACCTCTGTAAAAAAAACCCTTGTGTTTAACTTTGTGAACGATTTTGTAACCTTGAAATGAATTTTTATCATACTACCAGTTCTAGTAGTTGTTTAAAAAATTCAATTGTTTTTAGAAATGAATAACCGTAACGCAAAAATGGAACCTTCCAATAAAATTGTCAACTCATTATAGATATACGTTACTAAGTCCTAAATAAGTTAAGTGAAAATAGATCTACAGAAAAGTTTCTGTAAAATTTTATTCAGATTCTCATTTGAATAACTTTTTATTTTATTAACCTGGATATCCAATCCGCATTTGAACCTCCGTGGCCACAAGGGGATTTTTATTCTTCATTGGATTTGAACTTGGGACCTCCTGGTACTTTTGACCTTTGGAGCCAAGCTCAAACAATCAGGCACCACGCTTATGGTTCATTTGAATAACTTATTTTCATCAAAAATTAACATCCATCAATACATGTTTTGTTGCTATGAGGATATATCCACTTCTACCCCCTTCTTAACCTACAAGCACGCATTTCCCAACCAAAGAGTCTTTGATCTAGCGATATCATAGTGTTTGGCCTTATTGAAGGTCAGGGGTTCAAACCTCACCAACGGTGGGAGAGTGTGTGAGTTTGTTTGTTGTATTTGTGGTATACAAACCTAAAACTAAAAAAATACGAGATTTTCACTATATTTCCCAAGTTTTAATGCAATTTCCACTGTATCCCCATAAACCTCATAACCCGAAGTAAATGCTTGTGACTTTTCTTTATGCAAATTCATATAATGTAAGTGTAATGACAAGTAGTTTTAGTGGTTATACCCTACTCATTTAATAAGTGTAATGTAGCTACAAGTGTGGGTCATTGTCATTAGATGCAATTACTTCCAAATTGTTTTGGGTTGACTTTTGACTTTTGACTTTTTCTAGAGGTTTGTTGGACTTTCAAATCAATGAGTTGTGATGCTTTTTATTCATATTCTTGTTTAAAACCAAATTCAGAAGTTATGTATTTGTAAAAGCATAAAGTGCTTATACTTATCAAATATATCTTAGCATATATAGTAATTCTTGATTTTTCACAATGACTAGTCTTAAAAAGGATGTTTGTAACTATATGATTGATGTCTGATTGATTTGAGCTTGAGCTTTAAAGGTTAAAAATGTCTGAAGGTCCCATGTTCGAATCCAAGGAGGAATAAAAAATCCTTTTGTAGCCACGGAGGTTCAAAGACAATGATCTCGCGGGTGGTTGTCCTGGGATTAGTTGTAATGTATAGCAGGTTGAATATTCAGGTTAACAAAAAAAAGATGCTTGTGAAAATGACATGGAATGAAAATGAGAATTTCTTTTGTTTAATTTGTAAAAAAATTTGGGATTTGTAAAAGAGTGAATTTATTATTATAAGGGGTTGTTTGGTTTAGGTTGGGGAATGAATATTCCCCCTAGTTTAACCAGGAATGAAAATTTGGGCTTATGGGGAATGAACCCAATATATTATACTATTACTAGAAAAATATTCTCACAATGCAACGAGATACATTGAGATAATGTTTCGTTTTATTTATTGTCTATGTCGATATAATACGATTTTATGTGATTTTAAGAAAACGATAATGTTTTTATTCATAAAAATTTTAAAAAAATATATCGATATTATTATCAAATTAACTACTTAAAAATTCTTGTTTTTATATAATTTATTTAATTCAAGATTTTTATTATAATTTAATTTCGGTTCAATAACGAAGTAATTTATTTTGGTTTAATAATATAATCTTTATAGGGATACTAATTAAGTATTTTAGTTATAAGTATAACTCAACGAGTATCCTAATTATATTTTAGATTTTTTATATTTAAAATGAGATGTTTATCTTGTAGTTGATTATGTTTATCTATAGTTAGTTACACGAATTTAACAATGAAGCCTTAATAAGTTATAATTACGCACAATTTACGTGCAATCTCGAGTTTTAAGTAATAGACATCAATAAACAATATTTCATGCATAAAAAATGATTTTTAAAAGTATTTGTCAAATGTTTTATAATATAGTATAGATAAAATCAAACAGTTTCTTTTATTATCATTTTCATTTATTATTACTTAGAGGGTGTTTGAGATTGCTTATTTGAAACAATTTATATCTTTCTACAAAAACATTTATCAACTTATTATAAATCACAATGGTTTAACTTATTCAAAAAATTCTTATTACCAGTTTGACATCGATATAAGTTGTTTATCCAAACACTCAAAAATGCTTATTATCGATGTCACACCGGAATAAATCAATAAGTTGTTTTTATAAGCAATCTCAAACACCCCCTTAATACTTCTAACCAAACACCTCCTTATTCAATTTTTTTTATTCTTATTAATCACTGTTTAATATATCTAACCAAACACCATATTAAGAATAAAAATCGTTTGTCTAAAATTTCACTCTATTTCTTCCATGTCCACTTATTAGATGGATTCACGTCATTTATTTACTGGAAAAAGAGAAAGAAAAAAAAAACAAAGTAAATAACTGATAAAATAAAAATAATAACGTAATTTTATATGATTGGTGGACGTAAAAAAGATAAAGAAATTCCAGACTCATGATTTTTGTTATTTTATAAAAATGTAATTGAATTTTTTTTTGAAGAATATAATATTATATATGGTAAATAAAACAAATAAACTCACATATTTTGCTCACTTTTAGTAAGATTTGAACTCGTGACCTCCTAAGAAGTTGAATAAAAAGCATCTAATGACAATGACCCATTCTTATTTTGGATAGTGCACTTTTAAAACTTTCATTTTGGTACTTAAGATGTAAAGTTTTAAACATTCGGGTAACTGGTTGAATCATTAACTGGTTATCATGTTGATGTGACAAGTGATGGGATGAAATTGGGTTGAATAGCAATTAATACTAAGTTGGATACCACACCACCCGCCATATCAGCATGGTAACCGATTAATGCTTCAATCGGTTACCCTGTTATTTAAACGCTTAAAACTTTACATCTTATGTACTAAAATAAAAGTTTTGAAAATAAATTACTCAAGATAAAAAAATTATATTAAAATACGTTATTTTTTCATACAATCTACTTTATTTTTTTTATTATTAACAAAATGGTGTTTTCTATTACTTTAATGATTTTGCACTCACATAATACAAATTTAATATACTACTCCATCCCTCCATGATAAATATTTATAATAAAAAA